CTCTGTCTCTCTGTCTCTCTCTGTGTCAGTAACACTAAACTTAATTGAAAATATTAATTAATTTAAAAATTGCCATCTTGTATATATATATTTCATTATGTTATAGGGAAAGGGCTTTACATAAGTTGGACAACATGTGCCCAATCCCTTTTGTATATTAGATGCAAATAAAAATATGTTTAAATCAATAGGCACTACAAAAAGGGGCAATAACTCTGTAAATACACGTGCGATCGCCGGATATATGTGCAAAATTACACGTGACGGTGATTTTCTTACATAATGTCAGGATAAACAGACGGAAATCAAAATATAAAGTGTACGGACAAGATTTTTGTAAGCTTCGTGTGGCTTATCCCTTATCTCACCCTCAAGGGGCCGTGAACGATTCTGTTTACCTACAGACTGCACGAGTCAAAGGACGAATGGGGCTTTTTACCCATTAACCAGTAACGATTGTTCCTCAATTTCAAAATTTCACCACAAATGAGTAATCCAGATGTTCACATTGAACGTCGATCCCACAACAAATACACTTCATTGAATTCTTCAAACAGTAGTTACTTTGTATCCGCAAGCACACGTGTATTGCTTTGAAAACGTGACTGTGACCAACCAATTTTTACATACACAAGACCAGAAAGGGTGCGTTGTGTCAGTGCGTGTTGATGTGACACCAGAGTTATATTTATCGCTATGATTGACAGACTTTTTTTCTTCTGTTGTCAAAAGCTCACTCTGACACAAGGGCTCGGCTTACACCAAAAACGTGTACCTATACGTACTACTGTTTGTATGGTACATCAAATTAACACAGTATACTCACAGGCAGGTAAAAACAGAATAATATACACTTGTCCACAGGTTCTTCCTTTCAAAGCCCGAGAAATTTCATGTAAATCCCCGAATACGGAAAAGGTTTCACTTCGTGCATTTAAGTAATCGAAAATAGCATCACAAGGTTACTATATATAGCATCAAATAACCATAATTGACGCGATCATGTGTAATTGTTGATACAGATTAGTACTACAAACCACTCGGCCGGAGATATTTACCTGGCTATAAGAAGGGATCCAAATTGTGGAAATACGTGATAAGCGACTCGCATCACATCCAGCTTGTGTGTTTTGGTACGGTTTACTGTAGGTTGTGTTATCGATGGAACACCAGCTGTCGGCGATACGTACGTGTGTCAGTGTAATAACACATGAACTACAGTTATCAAACCACTTGGTAGTCTGTTCTAACAACGTGACGACGACATTCAACTTCCGTACTGTTTACACACGCACCCAACACATGTGTGTATAGTGAGTGTACTTTCGGCTTGGTGAGTATACAACAAACCCTCAATGAAGAGTTGTGTAGGGGTGTCACGTGACCACCAATATACGTTGAGGTGTGGTCTACGGGAGGTAACTGCGAGTAGTCTGGTCGACATCTTGTATAAAGTAGCCTCCCTTGATTTCCTTTCGGATATAACATTTCGAACACTGTTGTTGATTGTGTTTAGTTTGTGTGTGTCAATTCACCTGTACAGTTGTATGTGTTTAGTTTGTGTGTGTGTCCATTCTCCTGTCCAGTTGTATGTGATCAGTCATCTTAAAGTTTTTTTCATAAGGTAGGGGTACGTTTTTATATATGATTTTACCAAAGCTGTAGTCTTAACCAACTATCGTTGTCATCAACAAGGTCTCGTTCAAAGCCAGTATCAAAATAGTTAAGGAGTAATATTGATTGAAATCAACACCTAATAAGCGTTTTTTTGTGAATTGGTAGCAAATGATCAGATTTTTAAAAAAATAATCCAAGACAGTCTTTACCGAATCCGTACAATTTAATTTCAAACCCATCAGTTCACTTATTAACATATTGATAAAACATATTGTACAATAACTCGACAAACAATACAAAGTGGTACGAGGAGGATAAGGTGTAGTTAAATTCTCAGCTAAAAAAACAATTTTGTGAATTACGTTGTTTTAATTCTTACAATCTCCACTTGCTCGTTTGACATCCCTTAATGACGTACGTTTTATAAGAGATACTTAGATGTACAGAATAGAGTCTTATCCTTGATGAATTCTATCTATGTATGTTACGAGGGTAATTCTTTTTAAAGAATCATGATATTTATAGAATTTACTTGTATGTAAATTTATTACAGAATACAAAGTAAAGTGTACCCCGATAAAAAAAATAAAAATAAAAAATGACAATCAAAGAAAAGACATAAAAAGGCAAAAAAATCCATTTAATATAAATTTGATGCTCGTAAGTAAAATTGAACAATTGAACATATCTTGATATATATCTGTAAAAATTGACATACCTGGTAGCTCTATGAGAAAATGGCAGGAGTGGCCAGGCGTTTTCATTATAAGCTGGACATTTGCCAAATATATCGCTAATGACGGGGACATGCACCTACTTATCCGAACTAGTTAGACTGTTGAGGTCCCCATAGGGTTTTACATAAATAATACATGTCAGTATATCTGTCTCTCCCCATGGGAGGCCTCATTTAACTGTCGCATTACAATGCAAGTGTCAAGTACATTGTATGTATTAGCGCGAGAACAAATCGAGAGCCCGGGGAGGGGGGTTACTTGGTAACTGATGTAGATTCTATCTAGGACTGACTAGTTACACACTATGTACTAATTACGTGTGAAGTCAGTTGACAAAGGACTTGGTTATTTGTACTCATATATCGCCAATAGTATGCATATATACATAAAAACAATACAATATTTAAAACATACACTATTCAATGTAAGATATTTTTGTAAATTAAATTTGATAATGATCACAATGTGGGGAGTAAAACCAAAGTAGCCAATCATTGCTGCAAATCTTCCAATATTAAAAGGACGATTTTGTTCATTTCGAGAAATTGACAAGAGACGATGTTTTCTAAGCGTTCTTAATCAGTAATGAAGAAAAATCTCTAACTATACAATCATACGTTTTAGCGCCAGCTGTCGGTGAACTTCTTACAAACATGTCTTTCCAGCTGAGGAGAGAAAGTGAATTATCGCAATTTTCGTTTTATTCACTTAACTTTTTTGGATTATAAATACTGGCTTTTATTCTGAACCCATATAATATTCCAACAACATCTCGATCATCGTTATAAATGAGTAATTTATTTTACTTTTAACCTACTGATATCGTACTTTGCGCGGTTTGAAATTCTCCCTCTCGAGTGCATACTGTTTCTTTATTATTCAAATCCAACTTTCAACATACATATCATATTATATTTGTATATTATGATACTTATGATTCTTTCTTGCAATGAATTTTGTAAATGAACAAGTATGTGTTATGTGTGAAACCAGACTCATTGCCATTGTGTTGTCGGTCGACAGCGTGGTACTGTGTACGTTTACTTCTCACTGAAAGGCCCGGCAATTATGCTGTTTCAGACACAGAAATATTTATCCTAAGCTTTCAAAAAATTCTTAATTATTTTTAAATCGGTTTATCAAATCTAAAATATGCGACATACCGTTGCTAAACTTATTTTAAGTAAACTGGGTGATTCTCAGGGGCGGGGTAGGTGAGGTGCTGTCTGAAAAACATCATAAATGTAAATATTAAATATATCAAATTAGAAGACATGATGATAGATTTTTCTGTTAATGCCAATGTCTGCTAGACGAAATATTTTCTGCTGAAAGAGGACACATGCTATATGAATAGTCTAACTTATTAAGAAATTTTGATTTGGTATATCAAACAAATTAGGAAAACCAGTGTTTTGTTTGATTAACATAATGAAACGCAGAGAGAAAATGACAAAATGCATAATAAAAATGGAATTTCTTTGCACAAATGTGAAAGTAATCGATTTGATCTGTTTTCAGTCTTTAGTTAAATCTCTGACAACTTAACCAAGCCAGATTATTTTAGTGTTTTGTTACTTATTATTTATACTAAAAAGTAAACGTTATCTCCCGTAGATGTATAATGATAACAGTGCATGCTGGGATTGCTACAAGATACCAGACCCACCCACACGTCAGTACACCACAAGGAAGTCGATACTCCGATTTCTCCTACTACAGCAAAGAAACATTTTCATGACAACACGAAGACTGACGACCAGGTGTGTATACCGTCACAGTGATATATACTGTAATCAAGTTTAATCCCAGGATGATTTACTGTCAGTTTTTTGAAACTTTTATTATTTTATTTCACCTAGTTATCAAGAAAAAGAAAGATTGCCGGAAGAATATTACTGAAATGGTTACATATGACTCAAACTTCTCGGTGGTATGCACAATATTTTATGGAAAATATATCAGAGACTACGTTTCATGACATATACATGATTGATTAAACCTTTACAAAGCATCAGTATTCAGACTTCACGGTTACCAGTGTCCACCCTGTACTTGTATATGCGTCTCCGACTATACAGATGAAGCTGCATATATGCATAGATAATGCACATATTTCTTATCGGTTTTGCACTTACGTTTAACAAGTCACATTTGTAATGCTAGATAGCTATTATAGATAGCGCGGTGTCTCCGAGCGTGTGTGATTAGACTGTTTATACAGTAGTGTTATCGCACAAAACACTAAACTTCTGAGTTACTATCATGACCCCCAACACGAGAACTCCCGAGATAAATTATGACTTAAATCACTCGAGATTACTTATAGTTGGGAAAACCCAATGATGTACCAGTGATAATGTAACTGATCAAATATGATTCCAATTTCGAATTACCTGTACTTGAAGAAAAACATCAAATCTGATGGTAAGCACTGTTCACAGTATGTATAAGGTATGAATTTACGTTCACAGATTACATTTTATCATCAAAACATTAAAAAGTAACACGAAGTGGCTTTCAATTCTCTGTTTATTTTCGTCACGCTACCGCAATTAGTACGCAACTCAAATTGGTACATGGTCATAAAATGTTTTCTATATTATTTTAAAATTAAATTAAAATGTGTATTATTTTCTAATGGTATAATTATAAAGATGTTTGTCAGAATTTCCACTTGATGATTTTATTCAGCGACATTTTAAGAGTACACGATGACTTCAAAGAAAACATGTCAGAAAACCAGAAAACCTGACGACGATACGTTAGAGGATTTTGAAGATGTGAATTATAGGCGTGTTTGATTTTTGAGGTCTGGTCACTATCTGGCAATTGTAGTGTAGTATGGTATTTATAAAGCAATATATTTTGTTGCAATCGGCACATCAACTAGTTGAAATAAAAATATGTTTCATAGCCCGTGATATTACTACTACTAATAATATACAACAGGTATATAGCGCCCTATATAATTTGTAAAATTACTCCAAAGCGCTTCACAACATATGGATAATAGTAATGGTTATAATTGTGAAAACAAAAAACAAAGGCTTACAATCACTTTTATACATTTAAGCAAGAAATGTGCACATAATTGAACAAATAAAAGGGTGGTATTTACATGACGTCTTTGCAAGGATTCTAAAATGCAGACGTGAAGAGGTGAGTTTTGATGTCCCTCTTGAACTTGGCCAGGGTATTTGACTTTCTAATAGCAGATGGTAAGCTTTTCCACAACGTAGCCGAAAACCTCCAAAATCACCTGTTTCCGTAGGTCACAGTACGAGATTTTGGGACACACAACAAAGATTCTGACTCCGACCGCAGTGATCGTGACGGCTGATACAGGGTATTATGTAAAATATATTATTTTTATACAATATTTTAGTAATATAAAATTTTGTGTACCGAATCGGGTACCAAACACGGCCGAAAAAACGGATGAAATCTCTCTCCGAGATTATCCCTCTATCTTTGAAAATAAATTGCTTAGAATCAAAACTGAAAAGAAACATTCCGAATACAAGCTCTGCATTTTAAAATGTCATTGAGAACTGTCAAAAATGTACCAATTGTTGAAGCCTTACGTTATATACAGTGATGGTGTTGTAAGCGTATGTGTGCCATCAAAACAGGGCAATTACTCTTACACAAAATCGTCATATTTAAAATACTGGAGACATTTTGTTTGAATTGGAAATGTCTCTAAATAACCGTTTATGTTGTTACAGGCAATACAACACCAGGTGAAGAAAAACCTTCGTACAAATGTTTATTATGCTGTCGACAATGTAACGCCCCCAGACAACTGTCGTCGTGTTTTCATATATTTTGTACGGACTGTCTGGACACTTACGTCCGGTCAGACCATGTAATTACAGACAACAGGACATACGTACCATGCCCTGTGTGTGACGAACCGTGCTCGACTCCCGATCCCAAGACTCCAGTCAGTTATTGGGCTTCCTCGTTTCCGCTTCACCCGTTGTTCCAAACCCCAAATTATATTGAGACAGGAACCGGGGAGACATTTTGCGAAGGGTGTCTGAGAGATGATGAAAAAAACCACAGCTGAATTCTGGTGTGATGTTTGTATTGAAGACATGTGTAAGCAACGCAGGGTGATGCACAGAAAAATAAAATCCTTTCCAAACATACAGTGATTGAAATAAGTGCCATTAAGAAAGTTGGATCAGACAAACCTGAACAAATTCCCACTGCGTGTCCCAAGCACCCGGGAAAGGAATTGGACACTTACTGCCTCGACCACAATGTACTCTGTTGTATGATGTGTGTGACATTGGCACACAGAGCTTGTCCGAACTTGAATCTTCTCGATGACGTGGCAAATGGTCCAATGGTCGATAGAGGTTTGGTCGAGAGTGAGTTAAACAAGGTGAAACAGGAAACAAAAATCATCGTTGATGAGGACAACCTCTCATTGATTGCGCTCGACTCTGAACATCAGACGATGACTAATCGCATGACCGCAATAATAAAGAAAGCAAAAAATAAACTCGATTTTCTGCACGGTCGTTTCCAAAGCAGCCTTGATGACACCTACAACCGTAATAAATCAACAAGGAATTTCAAGCAAATATGGATAACACAAATCAACTGTTGGCGCTGATGAACCAATGCGGTTCTGACCGTCAGAAATTTATCGTTGAAGAACAATCTAAGCTACAAATCGCTAGACACTTTTGTCGAATGCTGCAGAAAACCAAATACAGACGCAATATATTCAACATGACATTGAACTTTGATGACACAATAGAAAAGGCCATGAACTCGATCACAACTCTAGGAGTTGTAGAGGTGTCACCGTCATTGTCATTGCCCTCACTAGACGCCCTCACATCTATCGAGAGACTGATCGGCACACTTAAGACAATACCGCTCGAGTCGTCTTTCGCTGACGGAACAGCGTCCGATGTAATCGATGAAACAGAAAAGGTACTCCCGTCACAAGAAACACAGCGCGTTGACTTGTGGAACGTGTCTTTGTCCCCTGTCAAGTCAGTGTTGTGTAACTCACGTGGTGGGTCGAACCAGATATGGCTGACAGGAGGAGTGTTTATTAATGGAGAAGGTCTACTTATCACAGACTACTACGAAAATAGGATTCTACTGTTTGATGATCATTATGATTACGTCAGACAGTTTGGCGTGGTCGGCAAACCTTCTCACATCTCACACGGTTTTACTGCCGACGAGGTGCTCATATCGTTATGCAGCAGTCGAACCATTCTGCGATGTACACTAAAGGGAGGTGTCTTTACTTTGAACAGCAGAATATCCACTCAGTTCCGTACCTGGGGTACATCTGTCCTCGGAGACAACATCCTGGCCGGGTCTACAGACGCTGTACAGATTATATTAACTGATGGGACACTAGTTAAGTCTCTAAATACGAGTGGCGGTACTGCTTACGTCACCGTATCACCACGGGGATACTTTTACCACACAGATGATAATGCCATAGTGTGCCGGTCACACCACGGGAAGGAGAAGTTTCGTCAAAATTGTCAGGGTCTGAGAGGACCGTGTGGAATTGACGTGGATCAGGATAGTAATGTATATGTGTGTGGTGGGCTTTCTGGGAACGTCCACCTGGTGTCAGCAGACGGAACAAAGGAGAGGGAACTCCTCCCCGATCTGTCCGGTATAAGGCGACCTTGCGCTGTATTGGTCCATCCCACAAGACTGGAGTTTATTGTGACGTCATCTATGGAGAACGTGGCGTTCACAGTTTACAAGTTCTGTGCTGAGTGATTCCTCCTATACCAAACTGTTTAACACTACCACGTATAGACTTGCTGGAGTGGTCTAGAAAGACCTATTCATTTAGGGGTTGAGTTATGTATACACACTACAGCGACTGCTAATGAGCTGCCAGAGACAAAAAAAACCCACAGTTTTTCCCATTGAAATTGGTGTATAAACTGTTAAGGATGTAAATGAAATGTCCTCACATTTTACAGGAGCATTTCCGCTTTTCCTCGTGTAAAGAAATCTGTCCTGATGTACCCAAATTAGGACAGGCTCCGCGCATCTTTCCTGCGAGAGCTTATAATAGGACCGCGTCATCAATTTTGCCACACTTCATACGTCACTGATGATGGCGCAGTGCAATGGATTCACCATGCAGAACAATCCTGTGTAATCGCGATAGAGAAATCGCAACTCTCCGAATAATACGTTTGGGGTGCTGCACTCGGCAAACACCTGTTTATTATAATTTATTCCCTGGGCGCTGAAGTTAAGATATCAGAGACAATTCAGGCTGGGCTGTGGAGGTGATTGACAGCAAATGAAGTGCGTGTACCATGCAGACAAGTTCATTTCCTGTAACCTAAAGGTTGTAATCGCAGTGTGAACCTGAATCAAAAGCGTAATCTTCACAACTTACAAGTGTTTTGTGTACCAAAAGCGGGAATATATATGATTTATCTGGCTGATATTATGCAAACACGCGGCGTTATCAATAAATCGAATCCTTGTATTTTAAACCAGGCGTTAACTTCAGAGTCTATCTCAGCTGACCTGTTTCATTTTAAAATATGTTATTTTTTCTTGTGTTTATAATGTTCTTGTTATAACTATGGATGGACTGGGTCACTCATTATTTGACACATCCTGGTCCTAACAATATTTAAAATGTGGCTACTCCAATAACTCAAAAAAGTCTGTGTACTGGATATATACATTCTACATAACCAATTTATATCAGTGGCAATCTATAGGCTTATTCAATTTATGATAGGAATTTTTAACCTTTTTCATTGTCTTTTACTTTGTAGAACTATTTTTGTTCTTCACATTGTTACAAAAATACTTTGGAATATTGTATTTCAATATATAACTAGAAACACCATGTCTGCAGTGTTGAATCGCGGGACTTAATTGAAATCAAAAGCACCATGAATTGCAAAAAAACGGTACTGTACTATAATTTGCCTAATTATAAATACATCGAGAACAATATCATGATATGGGTTTTGAATACATTAGTTACAGCCGCCACATAACATTACAATAATTTTAGCTATTCCGATCTTGTTTTCACATAGCAATTAAGACCCTCTCATTACTGTTCATGTATAGCAAACTATGACTGTTCATTTGACCCAAAGAAAAACAATCATTGCTTTCTGGACATCTTTCATATTTCAAAACACAGCAGCATTTATAGTGTAAATGTTTTTGATATCATTAGTTAATGATAGCGATTCTATACATACACAAATGTGGTTTATACAACTAAATTCTGTAATTTCACTAGTCAGCTTATATAGTTGGGCATTGCATGACCTGCAAGCTAATTGAAATAAAGTTAATTAATTAATAAACATTTAAATTACTTAATTCAGGTTTGATGCTTTAATTTCCTTAATTTCCTAATGGCAATGTGTATAAAATTGATTAAAAAGGGTGTTAATTATAACAATATCGTTAATTTACAAGCAATTGATGTTGCCATTTTTATCATTTTTTATTTTTCCTATCTCTTCAATCATTAAATCCTTCATTTTACATTAAAAAAACAATCATCTGTTGTAACTGCATTAAAATTAACAATTAAAAAGATTTTTTTCATCAAATCTTTTCAATATCTATAATTTTACATTTCACGTTGCCTAGTGATTCAAGAAAATGGTGATTTATTTTAGTTATAGTGCATATCTTACTTCTTTGCTATCCCGGATAAAATTAATAGCTATATACATGCACACGTCTTTTGTTCGTTGTATTTTCAAACCATTTCGCACGCCAAGGATTGCTTTCCCTTTTTAAAGGAGAGCAACTTGTATGATATGTAATTAATTACCTGAATGAAGTTTAATAAAAATAATTTGTCACACCAGAGTCCTTTCATGGTTCTTTAACGAAAATATAATAAACATGTAAGTAATAGCCTCTCACCAAATTAATTCCCCGGCGCATAAATGGTGTGTGACGTGTAATGATGTTAGCAGGAATGTTGTGCTACTCTTGCATCATCGCTTGAGCGAGTTCTTGTAAGTAGATGTCAGATCTATAGACTGACCAGTTTGGACATTGTTTTGCCTTAGATTTACCTGCTCACGAGACTGATGTGTGACGTTGCGTAGCTTGTTAGAACATGGTATATGCTCCATAAGGCTACAAAAAGCGGACGACGACAGGTCTCAATATTTCGCCTCGACGGTTCGCAGTCAAGTGTTCGTTGACGTCAACTACAAGTACCACTCCAATCCATGACACTACAGACACCAAAATGGCTGCAACAGACCGCGTTTTCATTGAGGACGCCACATTCTCTGTCCCTATATTGTGGCTAATGACCAATACATAGCGAGAATATAACATGATTCCGCTGTCTTAATAGTCAAAGATGGCTGAGCCCAACAAGATGACTAGCAGAAACTTCTTGATATCTTTTATAACAGTTTTGCAGTTAAACAAAAGTGGTTTGACACAACTTCGTATCTTGGAATTAAACACCATGGTCAAATTCGCACCAATATCTTTATGATGACAATTGCACATATTTCTTAAACGCAAAAAAAATCGGGGATTTATAGATTTCTAGGTGGCGTATCAAGTAACTTTTCTATTATCTTTTTTGTTATTTATGAAACAACAAGAACTGATGTGTACATTCTTTAATTGCACAGCATGATCAGGTGTAGACATAAAAGGCCCTGAAGTGTCTCAAGGTGAATGTGAGTGAAACTGATCATACCGAAATCAATTGTAATTATATACAGGATATATTACCAATACATTATAATAAGTAAATCTAACGCAGTATAGAAGCATACAAATGAGGATTCAGTCTTTTACAACCCTCGACATATAGTTCAATGTTCGTCCATAACCATACTTTAATATTTTTGAACTTTTACACATAAGTGAGATAATAGACAACATACAAAAATGGATTTCTGATGTGATTGAGATCCTCTTCTAAAGTTAAACACCATACATTTAATACATGTAATAAATTATAACATATCACACTTACTAATCGTATGCTTCCTTTTGTTCGTATGTCATAACACAGACAATCTGATTAAAATACAAATGTTGATTTATCCCTGAATGCGTAGAGTATAATGAAGATATGTATTTTAATCAAACACGGGAAAATTAACCAAAGTTCTCAATACAGAGCAGAACATATAATGGAACAAATGGAAGCAAACCCAAAAGTACAACGTTATAAATAGAATTGTTTGAAAGACTGTACGGTATTATATGTATAACTGTTAATTTACAAAATATTTATTTTCACGTAAATTTGAATAAAAAATATTGATCGCAATTCAAAACTTCTTTTAACAATTATTCACAACATGAAAGTTTATGTCTTCGCGAAAACAAAATGGCATTAAAAGAGATCAGTTCGCGAATTTAAGGATGAACAGAATACAATTTATCTACAGAAAAGATTTGAAAGACAATGGTTTCATATGACAAGTTCATAAAATAAATATACAAATTCCACAATTCTTGTGTTCTCATTGGTTGTTCACAAATCATATAAACGCTCATTCTTTATGTAATAGTGATTCAATTTAACATTGATCTGGTGTCTAATTAGAAGTTGAAATCTTGAATATAATTTCACATTAAAAAAAGGAGATTCAATAATTAAAATACCATGAAAACTGTCCTTCGTTCCAAAGTGTTCACCCTTTCTAATAGAATAAGTATTAAGTGAACAACAAATTTGTGCATTACTTTAAATATATTACAAATACCTTGATGGGCTAAGGACTAAGTTTATACATGATATGCTTTATGTTACACACATTATAAAAGTAGGTCACTGCTGCCTTATTCACAACGACAAAAATGATATCTGTATAATTTTATGAATATGTCGTTCGGAAAACTTTCAACATGTATGTTCATGTTTTGTCAAACCTAAAAGTTCAGGTTGTACACTATCTACATGTTCAGATCGTTCTCTGTGTAAATGTTCATGTTGTTCAACAATGTTTACGTTCATTTTCTGTCTACAGGTTCAAGTACATGTTCCCAATCCCCTTGTACATGTTCCGGTTGTTCCCCATCCTCTTGTTCATATTCCGGTTGTTCCCCATCCCCTTGTACATGTTCCGGTTGTTCCCCATCCCCTTGTACATGTTCCGGTAGTTCCCAATCCCCTTGTACATGTTCCGGTTGTTCCCAATCCCCTTGTACATGTTCCGGTTGTTCCCCATCCCCTTGTACATATTCCGGTTGTTCCCCATCCCCTTGTACTTGTTCCGGTTGTTCCCAATCCCCTTGTACATGTTCCGGTTGTTTCCCATCCCCTTGTACATGTCCCGGTTGTTCCCCATCCCCTTGTACATGTTCCGGTTGTTCCCCATCTCCTTGTACATGATCCGGTTGTTCCCCATCCCCTTGTACATGTTCCGATTGTTCCCCATCCCCTTGTACATGTTCCGGTTGATCCCCATCCCCTTGTTCATGTGCCGGTTGTTCCCAATCCCCTTGTACATGTTCCGGTTGTTCCCCATCTCCTTGTACATGATCCGGTTGTTCCCCATCCCCTTGTACATGTTCCGGTTGTTCCCAATCCCCTTGTACATGTTCCGGTTGTTCCCCATATCCTTGTACATGATCCGGTTGTTCCCCATCCCCTTGTACATGTTCCGGTTGTTCCCCATCCTCTTGTACATGTTCAGATTGTTCCCCATGTACATGTTCAGTTTGTACTTCGTCTGTACGCCAATCTGTTACTTCTTCTCTCTGGGTTGCTTGTGCCCAATCTTGCTGATCAGATCTAAAAACCCTTACGTAATGTGCCATGCTGATCCTATAACAGTGAGGGTACGTTAACCGAACAAGCCGCCCCTCTCCCATGTTGCTGTAAAACCACCAGCTTCCCTGTGGTAAGCCATCAGCTGAAAATTCCCTATTTGGCACAAAAACTCTCGACACCAAATGTTGAATATCTGTCGTAGGTCCAGGCACAGTGTACGTAACAGCGGCCAGGTAATACCTGTAAAACAGGTACAAATCAAAGTGCTTATATATCACAGCCACATTTAGATAACAAACAATTGATGATATTTAAGTTAATAAAATACTCGAAATGATATATCGGTAGTTCAATGAATGCATACAATAAATATATTTATCACAGAATGTACTGTGTTATCAAATGAATATACCCATGTCATATTTTTTGGAGTATTAACCCATGTAATAAGACCTTTCAGCCCTGTGATTGATTGTAAGTTTCAATTATTTTAATTGTGACGTTACGCCTAGGACAAGTACATGACGTCACAAACGTACGCACTGTAGTAAAAAATTGCGGCTTTTTTACATTTCAAGATTGCTGCCGTTTTATCCGAATAAATGCCACAAATCTTGATTATGTGATAAAAAAGATCTTACACTCGTTTTCATTTCATATGAAATTTATGAAACTCGTATCATGAAATGGAAACTCCTATGAACCTATATGTAAGAAATGTTCGTACAGAATTAAATGGAAGCCAATGCCAATAGAATGGAACACCAATTAAAGTTTTAATTTCTCAATGAAACTACCAAATATTGATTTTATTTGCAAATGAAATTAAAGAGATTCAGTTTGCTTGTGTTAATAAATTTCAGACTGTTTAGAAAATATTAATCTGCAGCAACAGTTTAAAAATGAGTATCATAAAAAAGGTGACACATTCTTTGTTTTCTACATTTAAAGTCATATAGTGTTTAAATGATTTATTGATGACAAGGCACATCCATGCCAATGAAGGATTTTATTTTAACATTGAATTTACCCGTAGATTTGAACACAATCCAGTATATCCAGTGTTTCATGATACACTTACACAAGTTTCAGATATTCACAATCGGGTTTAATTATACGGTTGATTTCACGTAGTTGTTCCTGAGACAACATCAATATGCACTCTCAGTTCATTTACTTTTTCTCAAAACTAACAATATGCATCACCTAGTGAAAATATGAGATTGAATCCATATACTATATAATAAATTGTTGACCAACCTTTCACCAGCAAAGGTTATGTTTGGGCTGATACGGTGTGAATCCTCCTGGAAACTACCGAGATTCGCCAACAGTAGCGACAGGAAAACAGGCGGTCTAGGAAACACCATCACCTGCCTAGATACCAGACATACAAGTACAATAAGTGGCGTATATTCACTGATAAAATAATCACATGTATTCGCCTGACACATGTAAAACCAACCTCATATCCATCAACTTCTAGGTAAAGCCAAACTCACAATCTCACACAACCAGCTTCTATGTGAAGCCAATCTCACAAACTCACACAACCATCTTCTATGTAAAGTCAATCTCACAAACTCACACAACTATCTTTTCTTATTTGTAAATCCGAAATAAACAGACTCACATCAACATCTTCTTGGTAAAGTCAAACGCGCAGACTCATACCACCAACTTTTAGGTAAGGCAAAACTCACAAACTCATATCAGCACCTTTATGTTCTTGCGTATTAACACTTTTTTCCGTGGAGCAAAAAACATCGAATTATTCTTCGAGCTCTTATCAAGAATCCAATGGCACTGTTATATCATGAGATACATTATATATTGTCACTCACATTTAAATGTAGAGTGGGTAGTGTCTATATATATGTATATGTATTATGGGAGAAACAATATCCATGATTCAGGGTACACATTCTTGATCACTGGAGTTAACACCGCGGTTCCGTGGAGTTAACACTGTGGTTCAGTGGAGTTGACACCTTGATTCAGTGGAGTTGACACCATGATTCAGTGGAGTTAACACCGTGGTTCAGTTGAGTTAACACTGTGGTTCAGTGGAGTTTACTGTGGCTCAGTGGAGTTAACACTGTGGTTCAGTGGAGTTAACACCGTGGTTCAGTGGAGTTAACACCGTGGTGCAGTGGAGTTAACACCACGGTTCAGTGGAGTTAACACTGTGGTGCAGTGGAGTTAACACCGTAGTTCAGTGGCGTTAACACTGTTGTGCAGTGGAGTTAACATCGTGGTGCAGTGGAGTTAACACCGCGGTTCAGTGGAGTTTACACCGCGGTTCAGTGGAGTTAACACTGTGGTTTAGTGGAGTTGACACTGTGGTTCAGTGGATTTAACACTGCGGTTAAAAGGAGTTATCACTGTGGTCCAGTGGAGTTATCACTGTGGTCCAGTGGAGTTATCACTGTGGTCCAGTGGAGTTAACACTGTGGATTACTAGTGATAACACTTTTGATTACTGGAGTTAACACGGTGGATTACTGGAGTTAACACGGTGATTAAGTGGAGTTAACTGAAGTTGACACCATAGTGCATTGTAGCGTACAGTATTTTGTCAATGTGATTTAATATCAATTTCAATTTGCTCCTAATTGATTGGTCGAAATGAAAATATCGTGCTGTATTTTTCATATCGTGTGATTTTACTAAATATGGTAATTAGATATATTATGGCACTGCAAAGATATGTTTACTTCTGTTTACATCATCCGGACTGGGCGAGGGGGGAGGAGAGGGCAGTTTGAGGGACTTTGGTAACGACTGTCGTTACAACCAGAACTAGTCGTTGATAGTCGTTCACCAAAGAAAGATGTCGAAATATCCTAAACGCATGAGTAAATATGTTTTACATCATACATGTAAGAATGATATTGTGTTTTGTTCAGTTACTATCATCTTGAAATATTATTTACTAAATACTTTATTGTTATTTGCCTTTAGAACTGAATTATTGGATACGAATGAAATAATTGAACTTACTCTGCCCTTGTCTCATAGGCGGAGACTGCTTCGGCTATATCTTGCCATTCACTGTAGAGAAACATAACATAGATAGTTAACCAACTAAACTGAGGTACATGCTAACGTAGTATGAAACTAATGACAGAGTGGCGTGTGTCAAAATATAATATTATGTTAAACAAAACGGGAGATAAATAAAAAAATAAAATAAAAAAACACCATGATTTCTACCACCAATTAAAACCAGGAAAGTTTGCTCCATTGATATTAAATTAGATATACGTCGAAAAATTAGAATTTTTTGACAAGACAGTACAGATAAGGCTAAACATTTACTAGACTTTTTCATACAATAATATGAATAGCATTGGTAAATACCCTATAAATAGAAATCGTTGTAAAATATCCGCTCTTGTTTCTTTGCCGCAAAAACGCCTCGGTAAAAAGAACGGTATATATTCACTTAAACATATTTCAAACTTGTTTTCGACTTTTGAAGTTAAACCACGTCCCGCGGTTTTTTCCCAAAAAACATTTTACAAAACACGTGTATTGCATAGTAAATGCGTAGTAAAACGGCTCACGTGCCCAAACCTCATCCATGCGAATGGTTGAATCGTAAAATTCATTATGGGAGTAACGATGTCACGTGAGTTTCTGCTTACTTCCATATATAGTGATTTCCCTGACCTGTGACATGAAGTAGAATAGTGTGCTTCCACCGGGTATCGAACCCACGATCTCTAGGTTCCTAGTCGGACGCTCTACCACTGAGCTATAGGGGATTTCCCTCTACCTCGTAGCTAGAAGGCGACCTTTATCCTATGTACAATTTAAATTTGCCACAAGAGTAAGGGTTATATTGTAGTTGTATTGACAGACGAGGCTTCTACATGTGGCTGATTGATATAGCCATCTGTACCTACGCTTACACTCTTCTCAGTATTTAAGCTTACCTGACATAAAAAAAAAACCATACATGACCGGATCAATTTAGCCCATATTTACTCCTGCTGATGGCGATTCCTGTATAACAGAACCCTAAAATGTCACCCGAATCGAATAATATATTATAAAGTCTGACACTTTTACACAGTTGATGGGTGGAGAAGTAAAGTCATATGACAGTGTTTTGTATTTACCTTCCGTTGTCTCTTTGCCCTTGTAGAATTACATGCGGTAATTGCACGAGGCCGTTCGATCCGTTCACCGTGTTGAAGCAATGAGTAAGTTGAGACTCCAACAACGTCAGAATTCTCTGAGGTTCACTTGAGCGCATGTCGTGATTTCCACATAGCTTCCACTTGGCCTCTGATATATGGCCTTTCTTCCATAGCCGATGGGACTCAACAAGATTCTGCAGTGACAAACACGTTCAGAACTCTCTGTTAAACTGTCTGGTATTGGATCACGGTTAACACTGACTACGTTTGAACTAGATTGTCATAAACAAATCATCATTTGATCATTGTAAATCCTTAGATCCTTAGAAGTAAAAACTAAGACACACTGAATACGACAACTGTGCTTTGCATTATTTCAATACTTGAAATGAGTGGTTTACCTTCTTAATAAAGAAGACATTTAGGTTGAACTTAACAAAGGTACACACAAATGACTTCAATGCAATAAACCCTTAACACTCATAATTAAATTGATATCATAGTAAATTACAGTCCTATAAGTGAAGGGATTCTGAGCAACTCCCTCGCGTTTACACCTCTTCAGAAGCGCGTCATGGGTAACAGTATATGCACTAAAGAACTTACCACAAACAGGGGAATTCCGTCATCAGCAAGACGTCTCACCTCACGAAGTAAACATGGGCAATTATCCAGTTGTGTATACACCATGTTCAACCAGTTGTCAAGACTGCACGTGTTTATCGGGCCACCCTCTGCACTGTCACCACCTGGACATAAACCTAATAACGGAGGGAACAACCAAATTATATCAGTGTTAATTTTACTGCACAGGTAAATAAATCGTAGTGGGCAAGGTCAAGTTGAATAGTTATTCTTTATTCAAAATTTAAAAGTACCTGCAACTGATGTGCACATGTCGTTACCAAACTTTTGAAATGTTCCATAGACAGTAGGTATAGAGATTATTCACGCCGAATTTAATTAAGACAGGAACCATACGAGTTGGGCACCGGCATCCACTGTAATATTTTTATTTTATAGAAAATTATTTTCTAACTTTACTGCCCCTCTCCCCTAACAGTAGACGGTAGAAGAATGTTTAATTAATAAGGAGATTAGTATGCATTTAATATTTTCTTCGTTTTCATCTATTGTTGCGAGTTTCTAGAACATTTTCAAAATATGAATCATCTTGCATATGACGGAAGTCTTGTGTTACTACGGACCTCTTCTCCTTGGGCTTTCTCTTACTGTCCTTCCTCACTTATATGACAACTATCCCACAATTCGCAGGCAGATGTATAAATTCTTAGAATGTTATCGCTATTCCGAAGGTATTTCAGTCTCCGTAAGACATGTATTTCTTTTTTTATAAAAGAACTCTAAATCACACTGATATGATCACCCTACTTTGTACTTGAGTTAAACGTAAATCCTTTATGCTTATGATGTTCGGCAATTGTTTAAAGTCGTTCATCAAAAAACAAAATCTTAATTTTCCTCAATGCTACACAGTGTATTAGAAATATTAATTATTACATCAGTTTTATATAGGGTACATGTAACCAACAATTATGTAGCCATATATTAAGAGACTAAAGTTCTCTATTCAATGTCGTTTGAATGTCAATACATAAAGATGACCATTTTAGTGAAAATGAATCATTTTGCAAAGAGACGAGCAGTATTTTCAAACACCCGGCAATGCCATTAAAAACAATTAGAATTGTGTAAAAAGACCTAACCACAAAGACAATTCACGAGAAATTTCATAGGACTTGAATTTTGCCATCAAACCTTCATGCCGAACTCGATCGACAGCTTTAGAAATGTCACAGAATACCATACATGCATGGTTGTCCCTCCAAAGCGATGGATATGTTATGAAAACTTTCAATGAGCTTATAAACTGTGAAAAGGCCAGGCATAACAAAACACCCAGACTGATGCTTATAAAATAACAAGCTTTCTACGATTTAAGTATGCATGTGTTTGCAAATTACCCTTTCACCAACTTTGGATAATAGAAAAAACACCATTGATGCGCGAAAGAGTGTATATTTTTTTAATTTTCAGTGACCGCTTATTTCGTATTCCAAGTAAACAAACTGATGGGCTATAAACCAAAACTCTGTCGAAAGATTCAGGTGTCGAGTACCGAATAATATTATTCTATAACCCTGGACAGGTGAGTCCGCACTTTAACCGGTGCAAGAATATAAGACTCTTTCATGCCCAGGGGTGTAAAATATATTTATATCCCCTCCGGATTTTCAAATTTGGCAAAACCCTCGTCAAAGCCTCGGGTTTAACCAAATTTGAAAATCCCTCAACCTATCCTACACCCTTGGGCATGAAAGTGTATTTTTCTCTCATTCCAATCACCAGAATAAGCTCAGAAACCATCAAAATGCGTTTGAACTGGCCTCCATTTTGAAAATATCAATTTCTCCCCCGAGCTTTTTAGACGAAAACGAATCAGTCAGCCAGATAATTAGCAAACAATGTTTGCGCAGAAAAAATAATCACATCTTTCTAACATGTACGGTAAATATATAATAAAAGGTTTTAGTTTCATCAGGTCGCCTTTTCCGCATTGCGGCATCGGAGAGTTCCAAATTCATGACATCACGTCTTTGTTGAGCCATTTTGACGTCACGTCATGAAAAAATGGGGGGTGTAAAATAGCCTACACCCCTTTCTTACCTGGACAGCTCTATCTTACACACAGTGAAATGAGCGAAATTCCTTTTCTCACATACTTCACAGGGTGATCCCGTTGTTGCTAGGGAAAATATAACTCTTTCTCGCAAACTAGAACGAGATATCCGCATTTAGGCGGTGTTGGAAAATTATATCCGACCCACGGGTCTAGATCGCTTACACGCACAAACTGGCGGAGGAATTATAGTGACCTTTCGGGGTCATGCTATTGTTCGTGATGTCATTTTATGACGTTCTGAGGTCAGTCAGGGTCGTTGACGTCATTAACAATTGCAATCCTGCTGCATATGCAAATGAGAAATGCGCGGACAGTTTACAACTTTACTAGTAGAGCAGCTGTTTTTACGGGGTTTAGGTAATTAGCAAGTAATATAATCCATCCCTGTGTGTTTGCTGAGTCTATCTTACATGGGCGTGACGTCACAATGGCTCAACAATGACGTGGCGTCACGAATTTGGAAAACACTGATACCGCAATGCGGCAAAGGCAACCTGATGAAATTAAAACCTTTTATGATATATTTACCGTACACGTTAGAAAGATGATATTATTTTTTCTGCGCAAACTATTTTTGCAAATATGAGGTATGCTAAATCTCGCTGACGAAGTATTTTTCGTCAAAATGCTCAGAGGAAAAAAAAATATTAAAATGGTAGCCAGTCCAAACGCATTTCAATGGTTTCTGAGCTTATTCTGGTAGTTGGAATGAGAGAAAAATACTATGTCATGCCCAAGGGTGTAGGATAGGGAATTTCACCCTCGGGATTTTCAAATTTGGCAAAACACGAGTCGACAATACAATGATGTCACGTCACCAATCTATCAACGTCACGCAACCTTGAATTTAGCCTGTAATGTTAACATAACATTGTATATATATTACACAATGGGTAAACAGGGTAGGAAAAAAAGAATCGTTCACCCCATTCTGCTAAGTTTCTTGTTTTGCAACTTAAGAATCTTCCCCCTCGGGTTGAGATTCCCCTATCTCATAACGGATCATAACGTCGCCCAGTCTAAAAACAGACCTGGTGTTCCAAATGCACAAGCTTTTGTAAAATGGATCAAAATCTCGAGTTGACTTACCTTGAATACCCCTTTCCTGTTCATTTGATTGGTCTACGGCCTGTTCGTCGTCAGGACATAAGCTCTGTATTGTGTAGCGACCCTCCTCAATCATCAGCTGCGGTATGTTCATAGGCAGCGTAGAGCTGGGAGCATTACAGAACTGGTAATCATGCTGTGACCCAGAAAAACACAGACCCGCTCGCATATTTTGATTTTGTGTTTCTTCCACTGGGTTTACGTAATTTGTATTCGGTAATCTTTCATTAGTTGCCTCCACAATATCAATCGGAGTAGCTGTTTGTAAGCGATGAGAGTTAGACGGAGTAATGAATTGATCATCCATTTGATTTAATGTAAACCACGTTAAAATTAAACACAAAATCAGGATACCAAGTCTATATCCGGTGTTGCGTTTTCCACGCTGATTATTCGCGCCATCGAATCCGTCAGTGTCATGGGAGTCCTCCTCTGGCTGTGAAATTTCCCCATCGTCATCTTCACCCTGTGTTTCTTCGTCGTCAGGGCCGTTTGCTGTATTTTCGTTGACTTCGTCTATTGTGGCAGTATTTGTTTTTTTGTCAAGGTAAACAAAGCAGAAGCCGTCCGGACTATCTTCTGATGAACCATCCGACTCTACAAGTCCTGTGTCACCCGTGACATCATCTGTCTCTCTGGGTCTTGTTTCACCAGTGGGATCATCTGACTCTCTGGGTCCTGTGCCACCAGTGGGATCATCTGATTTTCTGGGTCCTGTGTCACCAGTGGAATCATCTGACTCTCCGAGTCCTGTGTCACCAGTGGGATCATCTAACTCTCTGGGTCCTGCTTCACCAGTGGGATCATCTAACACTCTGTGTCCTGTGTTACCAGTGGGATCATCTGACTCACTTGGTCCCGTGTCACCAGTGGGATCATCGTTTAAATCAGGATTCACCTCTTCAATTCTATTATTTTCAATCCCAATATCAGTGTGCCCCTCTTCTACATCAGTGTTTCCCCCGTTATTTTCCTCTGATTCTAGAAGGGATCCGTTTCTGAAGTTTCCTTCAGCCATGGTATATTTTTAAAATCTGAAAAGGGTAAATCAAACAGTCTGATTCGACAGTCAGTGAAACAAATGGCGCGTATGGTACGCTGAACGCCGATATGACAAGATCTTAAAATACACAACTGATGACCACATATGTACCTGCATTCGGTGACTCAGTGTCTAATTACAGTACGTGTATCAGATATGTTGTTCATTACATTATAAATACATGTACTGCATGGAAATATATACAAGAAAACCAACAAAACAGAGATGCAATAAACATCAATTATATAGGTCAATTGGTGTTTAACATATTAAGTTCCATAATTATGTAATGTTAAAGATACTTTATGTATGTATACGACATCTTAATTAATATCCTTTTGTATGGCCGACATTGGCGTGATGGTGAACATTTCTCGTCGTCAAATGTTTGGTCAGGAATTTTACTCTGTATCTGCAGCTCAACACAGGAATACGTAGTAAATTAATTTGGAAATCTGACGTCCGCTTAGAAAATTGTCCGCTTTCCCCTAATTTTGTCAATGCAGTACAAAGTGTAGTGAACTTGGTGACCAAAGCTTTTTTCTCTCGCTTAGCTGTCTGTGTTTTCCCCACAGTTTGTTTCATTGGGAAAGAAGGCTACCGGTCTTCTTTTGAGAAAAGTAAGCATTTCATCGGATGTGCTCGAGATCTGCACTGACTTGCTACTGGTGTCAACATTAAATTGTTTAGTCATTGCATGCCATCAGTGTTGTAGATTAGTTGTACTTTGTATTTGATTTTAATAAGGAAACATATATATTAAAGATAAAAAAAATCATGAAATTATCTGTTCATAATCCAATGAAAAGTATCTATGTCATCTGTCCAGAGATAGATAGTTTTTCCTTTCGTTTTGACATTTTGCGTGTTAGCTTTACCACGAAATTAGATTAGATCTAAGTCCGTGGCTTTACAGAGAATCTCAAAACCCCGCGAGCTATATATATATATACCTGGATCTATTTTAAAACGTTGACGTCTGGTTTACTAGAGCTGGTTACTATGGTCTGATACTTTAACAATATCGACACAGATACCGTTTTAAAGGCTGATTTATTATCCTACCATGTAATGTCGGGCACGTACAGTAGAATACGTTACTCCGGACACAAAGGATTCAGAGATTTCGAAATAGCGAGTTTCTGTACCCGGAGTCCGCATAAGTAAAGTTGCCATATATCCGTCATCTAAGTTTAGTATTTATTGGACGTGAATAAAATAGCACACAATCGATTCATAAAGAGTAAGTTGTTTTCTAGAACCACGAAACACACAATGTTTATAACTCGTCAAAACAAAACCGGGAGAATATATTCAATATATGTTGTTGGATATTGAGTATGTAGTACATCATACAAATGTAGGTACTTCGGTATTCCTTGTCTGATGGGAGACCTATTTCCTTTTACTTGTGTGGCTGGTCATACAAATTAATATAATTTCAACCGTTTGACGGGTAGGAAGTAGGGTGAAATTATTTTATCGTTGTTATGCAGTGCCAATAGGTGGCGTGATGATCTGTGATTTGTACGTGCAAATCCCGACCGCGTGTTACCTGTACGTGTACGTGTCATTCAGGCGACTCTGGTAGCGGCAGGTAGACGTGAAAGTTAATTTTTACATAATTAAAAATTGGGAGTGAGTTTTGGCGGAAATAGAATTTACAATTAGATTAATTTTATATCTGCTATACATATATTGGTAATCAGTGATATAGGGAGTAATCTGGAACGGACAAAGTTTATGATAAATCTATAATTAAATGCAATCCTTTGTTTGTAAGTGCAAACATGCTTTATGTCCATAAAATGTGTTGATGTGTATGAAAATGATTTGTTTAATAAATCAGTCGCAGTGCCTCTGTCGCAGTGAAATACATTTCTGTATTTTGTGTTGTTTATCCTATTGGATAATTGAATAGAGAAGGCTAGAACTCAAAAAGAAATAAAGATCATTAAAAAGTTACCTTTATTCAAAAGACTTCATTCACAGTATCAGAATTAATATTGTTACTCTACTTTAGTACTGTTAAACCAATACAGATTCCTTGTGTACCCTGCCTTCATTTTAATAAGACATGTACTATTGTGCTGTCTATTTAGACATAATAAATACATACCCGGTTCGTATGTGAGAGTATTATAGTGGAATATATAATACTTGACAAAGGCCGGATCGGATCGGCCTGAGTTTATCCAATCTAATTAAAATGATAACGTTCGCATCGCTTCCGTTTACTGATATGTCTTCCAAGCGATGTGTA